CCCCCCCCCCGCGCCCCCGCCTGCGCCGCTGACCATCACTACGCCGCCGCCGCCGTATTTGGGGGTTGCTCTCTCCGTCGAGTCAGAGTCGTGGTTCTGTATGCGAACTCCTGGTATAGGGCAGGGAAAGGTATGTGTGCGGCGGTGAGGTTCTTTTAGAAATACCGATTGTCCGAATGCTTCACACCACACACCACCACCACCGCTGCTCGGGAGACATGCAAGGACCGAACGGGCTGCTGCTGTTGCTGGAAGGGGATTACCTAGAGAGTATTGCTTACTCTTGTCCTTCCCCATTCCGGGGGGGATGAGAGGCGTGGGGAGTGTGATAGTGGATGACGACTTGTTAGTGTTGGAGACTCTTAAAACCCTAACCCTTGGATCATGCTAGACGATCGGGAAAAGGGACATACGACCAAGTTATAGATGGCCTATATGTCCCGGTCCAGGGCAGTATGATCCATGAAATGATGAATTGCCCGTCCACAATGTACAACCATCCAATCAACACCCACAAGTCACTCATCATTGGGTATCAAAACAAGCCTTCTTCGGTTCTACCCCTTCCTAAAACACAGGATCCTCCAACCTCCTAAACAACGCCACAAACTTCTCCCCCTTGTTCCTCTCCACCTTCTTCCCCTCCTCCGTCGCATTCCTCATAATCTCCACACACGGATCCCCCTCCTGCTCCTCCACCCCAACCCTCTCAAACATCGGATGCGCCTCAAAATGCTGCACCATCCACCCATGCAAATCCGGCACGTCCGTAATCGTGTACACAACCCCCCCCGGCCTCACCGCATAAGCATACTCCGAATTCAGCGTCGTGCTCACAATTCTCTGCTTGTGCTTCCTCGCCTTGAAGTGCGGGTCGGGAAAACAGATGAAAATCTTGGACAGCTGCCCCTGCCTGAAAAAGTTGGGCAAGAACTTCATCGTGTTGGCGCGGAGAACAGACACGTTTTGGTAGGCTTTGCTTTCTTCGTTTTGCCGACGGAGGACCTTGATTCTGTCCTCGACGAACTGGGTGACGCTCACGCGGATCTCGAGGCCGAGGACGAGGGTCTGGGGCATGACGGGGGCGAGGGCGATGAGGAGGCCGCCGAAGCCGCAGCCTATGTCGGCTACTTCGACGTCTTGGGTGAGCTTTTTTACTTTGACTGGTGCCGAGAGGTCTTCTGTTGTTGATGATGGGGTGGCTTCTGGCTGTGACTCTTCTTGGGCGACATAGGCTGGATAGAGGGTGGACCAGTCCATTTGGTCAGGGTGTGGTGGGCTAGTTGTGTGTTAGTTTTGAAAATCTCAATTTTTTTTTATTTTTTTTTACAAGGTAGGAATGGCTCACTAGACTAATTGATGGTCGGAGAAGGGGTTGGCGTGGGCTCTTTGGCGGTAAAACTTCTTGCGAGGCATGGTGAGGACATCGTCCTGCTTCATGGCGGCGCGATAGTCCTCGCGCTTTTGCTTCTTGTTCTTTTTGGCGGCCATTTTGACTAATTTTTGAGTCTGGTTGAATTTGGGGATTCGTTCAATAACAGATCTCAAGAGTGCTGTGTCTTGTCGTCGGCGATATCTTGACTTGATAGTGTCGCTGTATGAGTTTGATGCAGAGCGCAAACTTGTGAAGCCAATGACCAGGAACCAGCACCTAAAAGTTCAACAGTGGGGCGCCATCCCACCTCCAGGGCTCCACCCGGCGCCATGCAAGGATCACCCCCCGCGAGTCCGCTATCGGGCCAGAGCTGCATGGCGACATTTTAAAGTACCCCGCGATGCAGTGTGAGCAATTGTTGTCGTATTTTGGGTCCCGGCCTGTAGAATTCCATCTTTAATCCCAAGAACCATCCCGTTCCTCGCTCAGTTCACAATGGCTGCCGCGAAACAGGTCAACATTGCCATCATTGGTATGTGTACTCTCTGTCCAGTGTTACTCCTGACCTGATGCTTACAGCTGTGACCCTTCAGGCGCTGGCGGGGTAGGAAAGTGCTTCCTCGGCCAGCTCGAGACGCTCGCCCAGCGCAGACCCAGCCCCAAGCTCGTCCTCACCTACATCAGCACCAGCAAGAAGGCTATCTACAACTCGGACTATGCCGCTATCGCCATCAACGATGTCTCCTCCAAGCTCGCCTCCTCCTCCCAGGCTCCCCTCGCCCCTCCCAAGTTGATCGAGTACCTCAAGTCCTCCGGCTCCAAGACCGTCCTCGTCGACAACACCAGTTCCCAAGACGTCGCCGACGCCTACCCACTCTTCCTTGGCAATGGCATCAGCATCGTCACTCCCAACAAGAAGGCCTTCTCTGGCTCCTACGAGCTTTGGCAGGAGATCTTCAGCGCTGCCGAGCAGTCTGGCGCCAAGGTCTACCACGAGTCCTCCGTCGGTGCCGGTCTCCCCGTCATCTCGACCCTCAACGACCTTGTCAACACCGGTGACGAGGTCACCAAGATCGAGGGCGTCTTCAGCGGCACCATGTCCTTCCTCTTCAACTCTTTCGCCCCCACTCCGGCAAGGGCGGCCAATGGTCCGCCGAGGTCAGGAAGGCCAAGGAGCTCGGTTACACTGAGCCCGACCCGCGTGACGATCTCAACGGCTTGGACGTTGCCCGGAAGCTCACCATCCTCGCCCGCCTTGCCGGTCTCGAGGTTGAGTCTCCCACCTCGTTCCCCGTCCAGAGCTTGATCCCCAAGGAGCTCGAGTCTGTTGCCACCGGTGATGAGTTCCTCGAGAAGCTCCCCGCCTTTGACTCTCAGATGGAGGAGACAAAGGCGGCGGCTGAGAAGGAGGGCAAGGTGGTTCGGTTTGTGGGCAGCATCGACGTCGCCTCAAAGCAGGTCAAGGTTGGACTCGAGAAGTTCGATCTCTCCCACCCCATTGCGGCGCTGAAGGGCAGCGATAACATCATTAGCTTCTATACTAAGCGGTACGGAAGCAACCCCTTGATCATCCAGGGCGCGGGCGCCGGTGGTGAAGTCACGGCCATGGGCGTCACCAGCGACCTCATCAAGGTGCTCTCTCAGGTCGCTTGAGCAAAATTCCAGCAAAATATTTCAAGCCACATGGCTGTCGAAAAAACAAGGTTGTTCTGTGCTTTCTCTGGCTATGTTGTGTCTCCTCCTCTGCCCCCTTGTCCCGCCCTATCCAACTCCTTGGGCCCTTGTTACTGTGTCTTTTCGGACGGTGCATGACCATTGGGAGTCGATCCATTCCCGTTTATAGGTTGTTTCGATTGTTGTGGTTGGGTAGCTTGGCGAGCTCGCAGCGCATTCGTAAATGTTTCGCAGGCAGAACCGGTGAGTCTGAATACGTAGAGGGTGATGTCGTAGATGACGAGGCAGATGATTGGTACGATGAATAGAGAACCAAGGGTCATCTGGAACAGGTTAGTATGGTACGAAGGTCCAGCGGTCCCTGTACTTACAAAGAAGCCAGAAATGCCATGCAAGAAAGGATGAAACTGCGACGGGATCCAGCTCGGCTCCGTCATGGCGTAGTAGATCCAAGCTATTATCTCCAAAAGGCCAGCCATCGCGGATGTGTTCCTAAGACTGGTGATGGAGATGAGGTAGATAACACGGAGGTCCGAGTAGGTAAGAGGGTAAGCAATGGGGTATCGTAGTAGCAATGGACGCTCGAATGCCGGTCGCGTTGTCAAGAGGATGAGCTATGCAGCAGGGGTATATCTGGTGTATTATATCGTAAAAGGAGCGTGATCGTATCGGGATTTAGGAGAAGCAATGCGTAGGTAGGGAACTAGCTGTTGGGACATGTGCCGATGGTGTTCTTTCCTCGGTCGCGATACACTTCCATCAGGGCCACCTATGTCAAGCTTATAAAAGAGAAAGGGAAGAATGAAAAAAGGAGTGGGCAGCGCGTGGGGGTTAACGAAGGGAGGCCACGATGCACCAAGGTTTATGCGGGTTAGATACCGTGCCGTTCTCTTGGGTTTAGTCTGCGCAGTTGCTAGGGATGAAAGATGGCATGCCGGTGCCAAAGTCAAGTCCGGACGACGGTGGAAGAAGAGCTCCGAGCCGAAGCATGCTTGTGCGAGGTGGCCGAGATGCATGACGACGGAATGTCAGGCGCACGCTGGGTGAAAGGTGCCAAGATGCGCCAGCAGTGCTAGCACCCCTGTTTTAGTGCCAGATCCACTGTCTGGGGAAGCTGACGGGAGCTGGGCGCGCACTGTGCGATCTCACTTCATCTGAAGATTCACTTTGACATAGCTCACCTCATCAACTCATCAACATCTTTCTGTTCCGACAACTGACGATTCAACTTATACAGTCAATCACCAAATAAATACCCACCTCTCACACCGTTCTCACCACTATCAGTCACGTTCTTACACCACCACAACCATGCCCCGTCCCCAAGACCCTCACTTATACGGCCAACCACCCCCCAAAAAACAAAAGAAATCCTCCCCCACCGACCTCTCCGGCTCCCTCGCCTTCACCTCCCAACTCACCTCCCTCCTCGCCTCGTCCTCATCCACCCCGTCCACCAGCCGCCCCCGCCCCTCCAAATCCAAAACCGAAGACCTCTTCAAATCAGTCAAAATCAAACGCAAAAACCCCCCAAAAGACCAAGATGAAAAACTCACCCTCAAATCCCCCACCACCACCACCACCTCCTCCTCCTCCGAACTCGAAGACTTAGCCCGCTCCCGTCAACGCCTAGAATCCAAATCCCGCCTCTACGCCGCCATGCAAAGAGGCGACTACATAGGCAAAGAATACGGCCTCGTAGATTTCGACCGTAAATGGGCAGAATCCAACCCCGGCCCCCCAGAAGTCCTTTCCTCCTCCTCCTCTTCCGAACCAGAAGAAGAAGAAGAAGCCACAATCGAATACACCGACACCTACGGCCGAACCCGCCTCCTAACCCCCTCCCAAAAAGCAGCCCTCGACCGCGCGGCCGCCTCGAAAATCGACCTGGAGAAAATGGCCGGCCGCCCTGTCGCTGTGCCCTCTGATCTTATCTTTGGGGATACCATCCAGGCTCGGGCGTTTGAGGAGACGAATCAGATGGAGGAGTTGGCGAGGAAGAGGGATAGGAGTGCTACGCCGCCGCCGGAGACGCATTATGATGCTAATTGGGAGATACGGACCAAGGGGGTGGGGTTCTACAAGTTTAGTCAGGATGGGGAGACGAGGCAGAAGGAGATGGAGGGGTTGGAGGAGGAAAGGAAACGGACGAAGAGGGAGAGGGAGGGGAGGGAAAGGGAGAAGCTGAGGAGGAGGGAGGAGATGGAAAGGAGGAGGAGGGAGATTGAGGGGAGGAGGAGGGAGATGGGGGTGAAGAAGGCGGAGAGGGAGGCCAGCAGGTTTTTGGAGGAGTTGGGGGATGTTCTTGGGGGAGGGGGTGGTGATGATGGGAGTAGTAATGTGACGGAGAAGAAGAAGGAGGCGGAAAAGGAAGGGCAGGTTTAAGCAAGAGGCTTGATTCAAGTCTTGGGAAAAAAGAGCCGTGCAGTCTAGGCTGTTTAAGCGTAGTAAATGAACAAGCAAGCAATTATCATATCGACGATGTGAGTGTTGATACTTATTTGAACAATTGGAGACTTTTGTATGTGGCTTTTCCTGTCGACAAATGGATCAAACAAGAGTGAGATTGAAAGCACCACACATGGACATTGCAAGTCAGTAGAACAACAACACGAGAACTGTAAACTACTACAGCAAGAGAGGTGACTCTCTAATAACCAGGTCAGGATAGCGTGATATTTTGATATGAAAAGCAGGTGCATGCAACTATTCTCCTCTCTCCCTATGCCTCCAACATCTCAACATTCAACTTCACATACAACTTCACAAGCAATAACCACCTACAGACACCAACCCAATCTTCCTCATGGCCCAACAAAAGTCAAGTCCATAACGAAAAAAATTTTTTTCATCTCTCCTCAAAAGAGAAAAAAGCCAGCAGAAATTATAGCCTTGAAATACACCCTCCCCAAAGGTCAGAGCAATTCAATAACGACCCCCCATCTGAAAGGGAAAAGGACAGAAAGAGCAGATGGGGGTAAAAAAAAAAAAAAAAAAGAAAGAAAGAAACCAGTATCATCATGCAACGCCCAAGAACGTTCTTGATCTCCTTGGGTTGCCGGCCAGTAAATCTGGTACAGGATACTCCTGGTATATGAGGACAAAAGGAGAAAAGAGAAGGGTGTGGGAGGAACTTATAGGAAGGGGGCTGGGTGGCCCTTGCACGGTTGCTAATTTGGAGGAGGTGTGTAAAGGGGCCGTGCGTGGGGAGGGGAGGGTGGTGAAGAGGAAGGAGCGAAAGGGTTGAAGAGGAAGGCGTGAGGGTGTCACAGAGGAAGGCGTGAGGACGTTAAAGAGGAAGGAGCGAGGGAGGGGGAGGAGCCAAGGTATAGGTGGAACAACTACAGTTTGGAAGGAATAGCAAAATCGAGAGTCAGAATCATCTCACGCTGGTTGGCAGGCAAAAAAAAAAGACTGGTCTCCTATGTAGAGAGGAGGCAAAAGACATGTGGTTTGATTCCGTCCAGGCTCGAACTGGAGACCTTCAGTGTGTTAGACTGACGTGATAACCAACTACACCACGGAACCTCATAATTCGTTGGAGACCAACGACGGCTTTTCAATTCAAGTCTGCGCTATCCTTGCTGTGCACTGCTCTCAAAACTTTGAGGAACAAAACACTTCCAACTGACAAAGCAAACCCATCGGCTTCACAAGTCAAGTCCTTTAGGCCCGTTTTCCGGCCCCGGTCCCGTTGCCGAACGGAATTCAAATCCGGGGAAGCGGCCGTGGGTCTTGGTTTTCCCGCGGGGCGTTGCATGCCTCGGCACTTTCCCATCTGGGGTCTCCCCAAGCGAACCTCACTGTTGGCCGGCACCTATAACAGCCTGCCTTGCATTGATGCATCTCAACCTCACATGAGCTTCATATGAGAGAGAGATACGGAATTCGCGTGTCGATGGAATCATATCTCAATTGAATCTCTCTTGTGATTTTACGACTGCCAACCAGTACATAAAACCACCCTCTCTCACTCGCGTAGACTGCCGTCCACCTTGACCAAGCCACATAACCGAACTAAACTGAACGGGTAAACTGATCCTTGACTTACATATGCAACCTCACATCTCACAAACTCACCCTTCACTTCTTCTCATTGTTCACTTCCAACCCAGCCAACCGCCAAAATGGCCTCTTCATTCCTGATCAAGAACCACACCATCGAATCCCAACACATCCGCGAATACCCCCACGCCACCGCCCACTCCCAAGAAGAACCCCTCCTCCTCGCCGTGAAACAATACATCCCCCTCAACAACCTCACCCCCTCCCCCGGCGACGTCTCCATCATCGCCGCCCACGCAAATGGCTTCCCCAAAGAACTCTACGAGCCCCTCTGGGAAGACCTCCTATCCCTCCTCAACAGCCGCGGCGTCCAAATCCGCGGCATCTGGATAGCAGACGTAACTCACCAAGGCCAATCCGGCATCCTCAACGAAGCCAACCTAGGCAACGACCGTATGCCCACACCTCCACCCAATCCACTGTTCATGGTGCTAACAATCGCATAGCCTCGTGGATAGACCACACCCGCGACCTCCTCCACCTGACCAATCACTTCCGCCACTCCCTCCCCCGCCCCCTCATCGGTGTCGGGCACTCCTTCGGCGCAAACATCATAGTCAACCTCTCCCTCCTCCACCCCCGCCTCCTCTCCTCCCTCATCCTTTTGGACCCGGTCCTCTCCAGGTTCCAATCCAAAGGCCCTAAATACGGCTTCGCCCCCATGAAAGCCTCCGCCTTCCGCCGCGACATCTGGCCCTCCCTCGCCGCCGCCAAATCAGCCTTCCAATCCAACCCCTTCTACCGCACTTGGGACCCCCGCGTGTTCAACTCCTGGCTCGAACACGGCCTCCGACCAACCCCCACAAGAATCTACCCCGACGCCCCTGCTGGCTCAGTCACACTGTTGACAACCAAACACATGGAGAGTTTCACCTACTACCGCCCCATCCGTCAGAAGTTGATGGGAGGGGGTAAACACGAACTTGACTGGGATCTCATCCCCGACGCAGACGAAGTCGTGCATGAAAACCCCGACTTCCCCTTCTACCGCCCCGAAGGCGGCCCAGCAACGGCGAACAAGCTCCCCCACCTCCGGCCGGGCTGCATCTGGATTTTCGGCTCAGAGTCAAACGTCAACCCGCCCGACGTCCGGCAGGAGAAGCTCGACCTGACCGGCGTCGGTCCGGGCGGTTCTGGAGGCGCGAAGAACGGAAGGGTGAAAGCTGTTACCATCGAGGGGTACGGCCACCTTGTCCCAATGGAGAGGACGACCGAGGTCGCCACCTACGCCGCTGACTTCCTCGTCGAGGACCTCGAGCACTGGAGGAGGGAGCAGGAAGAGTTTAAGCGGTGGGCCAAGAAGAGAGACGAGGAAAAGTGGGTGATTAGTGAGGAGTTTGAGGGGTGGATGGGGGGACGGCCGGTAAGGAAGCCCAAGAAGGAAGGGGGAGACAAGTCAAAGTTGTAGTAGATATCAGAGGACAAAGAGGTTTAATGTTCCCATTTCCATAGAACATCTCACAATAGATATCAGGACACTTCAAACATACAACCGTTCCATCCCATCGTCCATCGACACGACATCCGATCCTGACCGTACATTCAACAATATCCAGCAACACCAAACGTCCAGCCGCCCCACCACCACCCCCTGAACGCCGGCTCAAACCTCAGGCAACAAAACACTCATGATACACCAACAACCGCAAGAATGAAATCATGGTATTAAACGCTCTATTACGTCCTCCCACCCCACCTTTCCTATCCCGTCCCGTCCCGTCCAACCCGTATCCCAGTACCATTCCCAATATAATATCCGACTACCGGCATCCGGCCGGTCCTCCAGTCGTCGTCTATGGGTATGTAATGCCGCCTCCCGTCTTTTGTCTTTGAACACAAAATATTACTTCCTCCTCTCTTGGTATATATTCATCATCCATGCTTTTTGTTTCGTTTTAGTCCTTCTTGGTTTACTCCTTGACGGCGTAGAACCTCTTGAACATGTCGTCGACCTTCTCGAGGTAGTAGGTGCCGGGGGCAATGGTGGACACCTCGCCGGTGGGGACGTAGTCCTTCTGGAGATGGGCCTTCTTGCGGAGGTCGCACATCTGAGACAAGTTAGCAATGGTTACCTGACAGTCAAAAGGTGAGGAGACATACCGAGTCGTAGGTCTCTGGGGGGACGGTGCGGCGAGCGACAAGTCTCTGGGGAATGTCAAGAGTCTTGGAAATGGTCTCGGTGCTGCCGTTGATGCGGAAAGAGAAGAAGGAGGCGGCAAGACCGGAGCCGTAGGAGAAGAGGGCGATGCGCTTGCCCTGGAGGTTGGCGCTGTCGACGTGGCCGATCAAGCTGGCAAGACCGCCCCAGACGCTGGCGCAGTACATGTTACCGCAAAGAGTAGCAACCTGGATGGCGGGGTTGACGCGCTCCTGGAAGCGTTTCTTGGTGAGGGTCATGAAGGTCTTCTCGACAACCTTGTCGGTCAGAGACTTCTTGTAGTCCATGTCGCGGATGTCGGCGGGAACCTCGGCGAAGGCCTTGTGCTCAGGGTCGGCAAGGTAGTCGTGGTAGAGGAGGCGGGCATACGACTTTTGCACGAGCTTGCAGGTAGGGGCATGGAAAGCCATGTAGTCGAAGCGGTCAAGGGGAGTCTTGAGGATGTCGTCTGTTACGCCGTTGGCGTTGCCGTTCGCATGGCCGTTGACGCCCTTGGTGAGCTGGGCCTCGCGCTTGCAGTAGGCGCGGTAAGCACCGTCGAGGGCCTCGGAGTAGCAGTTGATGGAGTAGTGGCCATCAACATAGGGATACTCGGAGGTGAGGTCGGGCTTGTAGAAGTCATAGGCGTGCTGCATGTAGCTGCCACGCATGCCGGGCTCGAAAACGATGGGCGCATCAGGACCAATCAAGAGCGCAACGGCACCGGCACCACCAGTCGGGCGGGCATTGCCCTTGGCGTAGAGGGCAATATCACCGGCAACAACAATGGCATCGCGGCCATCCCAGGCAGAAGACTCAATCCAGTTGACAGAGTTGAAAACGGCGTTGGTGCCGCCGTAGCAGGCGTTTACTGTGTCGACACCCTCAATGTTGGTGTTGTCGCCAAACAGCTGCATCAACACCGACTTGACCGACTTGGACTTGTCGAGGATGGTCTCGGTACCGACCTCGAGACGGCCGATCGAGTTGGTGTCGATGTTGTACTTCTTGAGGAGGTTGGACACGACGGTCAAGCTGAACGAGTAGATATCTAGAAAGGCGGGGCCCGCATGTCAGCCCCTGAATACCACCACAACACAACGAGCCCCCCCACTGCCATGGATACCCCACTGTCCGACGCCTGCCGCCCAGGGGCTGGGGAACAGGATCCCGGTGGTGGCGCAACGCAATAAAGACAAGGCACCACACACCACAGCAGGGGGTAAAATTCTCTGTGTAACGATGGGGTGTTGTTGAATTTTGTTGGGGAGGCAAAAGTGAAGTGAAGTGTTGTGTTGCTAGAGATGGAGATAATAAACACATACCCTCACGGTCGTCGCAGAAGCTCATCTTAGTCTGGCCGAGACCAATTGTATACTTGCCCGTGCTAACGCCATCGAACTTTTCAAGCTCGGCTTGCTCCACATACTATGCCCGTGACAGCTGTCAGCGATGTTGGGTCCAAAGCCAGAGCCAGAACCAGAACCAGAACCAGAACAGTTTGTTGACTCGTCGTCTCTCAGTAGCGTAAACTGACCTGGCTGGGGAAGTAGATTTCGATGGCCTTGATGCCAATGTTCTGGGGACGGGAGGCCATGGTGCTGAGAGGAGGTGCTGGGAGGTAACTGGAAGGTGCTGGAGGGTGCTGGAGGGTGCAATTGGGTTCGGCGAGCGTTTGTTTGTTGGGGGGGGGAGTCGTGTCGTAAAAAAAAGGGACGAGGAGATGGGACGTGAGGCGGGAGACGGAGGGTCTTTAGACTTTTGGAGGGGTAGTCAGCTAGCGCTCAAAGTGGGCTCATCTAATGTTTTGCTGGAGCTGTCCTGGTCACCGCCTTTTGTTGCCCATTGAGGAACGAGGAACCACCTAAGCAGACCCCACTATCTCTTGCCCCAGCAGTCTTCCCAATATCTGTCCAATATTGGCTATCGATTTTTGAGGAATGGAACAACAGATGGCGGTGATGTGGTAGATCTGCATATTCGACAAACCAGAGTGTCACGAATGTCTGTGGCTGTCTGAGGTGACAGGAAACAAAAAAAAAAAAAAAAGAGTGGGGGCAACTGTACCTGTCTCTCGTCTTATCTCTATTTTTCCTCTGTTGGAGTTGGGGATGTTGGAGAAGGGTATGTATACAACTACACAGCACCAGGAACTAGGATTTCGAGAAAGAATAAAAATGATAGGGAACACAAGAGACAAGGCACAACACCGACAGAATGAGGATGCGGGAGGTTCAAATACTTTGACCACAGCGGGGACGGCGACGGGGACAACGGCGGGTGACAACGGGGGGTGGACAACGGGAGGTGGACAACGGACAGGGAACAATACCTCCTGCCGGGTTCCAACACAATACTAGCAAGGACGTACGTGGGCGTCTCCCCGCCAGACACGCCATACGATATTTCTTGGGGACGATGTCGGACGCGCAACCACCACACACATGTCGTCTCGAGTGCCTCACCAGTCACCACCAACCCTCGACTCTCTCGTGGTCCCTCTCTCGTGGTCCCTCTGTCGGCCTTCTCCCCCCGCTGTGGGTTTCCCTCGTCGGCCTTGCGCGGATCTAATCTCTGAAGTGGAGGTTTCATGCAAGATTGATAAAGAAAAATCCCCACCAGCCAGCCCAGTTTGACGGAGTTGAACCCACTGCCCAGTTCAACGACGTTGGAGCTTGCGGTCGTTTTTCGATGTTGGAGAGGCTTGTGACTGACAAGCCTCGCCGGTGACTACTAAAAGAGTCTCTATTTACTAAATACCCGTCTTTGCTCTGGTGGTACACTGACCAGACAGGTCGAAGAGCACAGCAGCTGATCCGGTGTCGTACTCCAAAACCATCGACAGCCGTTGAGGTTCACGCCGTCGATATCCCTCTCTGGAAATCCCTCCTTCGGGAACTGCAACGGAGAAAATAACCGGAGACAACCCAGAACGGGCCCACCATCACCATGTCCCAGTCGTCCGGCCTTGAGTTTTCGTGCTGGAGCATCAAAGAGGGAATTAAAAAAAAAATCTCATTGTACGTACGTATGTACATGGTCCCTCGGGTCGTGGCAACGGTAACCGCGACAAGAGCCCCTTGTGCCCGCCCCTCGACCAACTTTTGTGATTCAGGGTCTTACAAAAAATACTACAAAACCCTCCCATTCGCCAGATCGACACGACCAACCCCCATCGTGTCGTTCGCCTCTGCAGGAACAACCCAGTCCGCCTCCCCCGATGCATCCCACCATCCCCTCCCCTTCAGGTGGCTGAGTTGGAACCGAACCGGTCAAGTTCCCATTTAGGAGAATACCCGCCGTCTCGATCACCATCATCAGAGAGATATTCACCGAGCATTTCGAGTTTCCATGATGATGATGATGATGATGCGTCTCTCCTACGTCCTCACTGTGGCTTGGCAAGGTCAACCTTCATCAACCCCACTATTTATCGTATCGATCTTGAGGCAGCTCAGGCGGGCACGAGCCTTTTCTTATTGCAACCACCCTCGTGAGGCGGTGGAGCTGATTGCGTGACATGATGGTGGTTCCCTGGCAGAGATAATCTTATCAATCTACAGGGGGGGCACCGATCACGGAGGTTCTTCCAGGTAGCCCTCATTTTCATTTTCGTCAGACTGTCACACACAGTGTCACTTGGTCATTCACACTCACTATACACTCTTGACATTTACAACCCTCCCTCACACACTCATCATCTCTCATTCCACTGATCCTCTTACACACTCACACACTTTTCATCCTCTCACTGCCCTCTCACAACCTCTTACACGCTCAGCACACTTTTCTACACTCATGCTCACAAAAACATATCACTCACTCACGATTGATCTCCACCATCCATTGAATCATTTTCATTTTTGTTCGTAATTTTCCAGCTCTTCTAGTAGAATGCTCAACACTCGACGCACTTAAACGTAGTATGTATGTAGTATGCTAAGAAACGCCCCCTAGATGCACATAAAAATCCCAAGGCAAAATAAAGCCTTCTTTCCTTACCCATCCCATATCACAACCCATATTATATCATACATCATCCTCCCTCACCTTTCTCAAGCAACCACCTCAACGGGAGCAGCAGCATCCCTCTCAGCAGCAGTAGCACCATACCCCGAATCCCCCGACACCTGCGCCCTTTCCACCTCCTCCTCATTAGCCTTTTTTGTATCAATCGTCATCGCCTTCGCCGGAGGAGCAGCAACAACAACAGCAGCAGCGGGCTTCTCATCCAGCTTGAGTTCAGGCACGGCCCCCTTGTCGGCTTCAGAGCCGCTCGGAGGGGGTGTATCAACCCTAACCTCCACCGCCAGCTTCTTCTCCTTTTCCTTCCCCTTCTTCTTCTTCTCAGTCCTCTTCCCCTCCTTATTCTTCTTTTTCGTCTTCTCCTCCTCACTCTCGCTCCCCTCACTATCACTCTCCTCCGCCTCACTCCCGCTCTCACTGTCCGTCCCGTCCTCACTCTCAGTGGTATCATCCCCCCTCCTCTTCTTCCCCCTCGCCTTCCTCTTCGCAGCCTTCTTCTTTGCCTTTTTCGCAGCCTTCTTCGCCGCCTTCTTCGCCTCCTCCTCCTTCTTCTTGGCCTGTTCCACCTCTCTTTCTTTCTGCTCCTTCCTCGCAACAACAAGCCACTCCTCCACCCCCTCGACGGCCTTTTCAGGGTTGCGTTTATTTTTCAGGAGAAAACCCTGGATCTCGGCAGGGGAGAACTCCATGGTGGGGATTTTGGAGGCGAATTCTTTTGCTAGGGCGTCGACTTTGTTCAAGACCTCTTGTTTTTTCTCGTCCTTTTCTTTCCGGGAGGCGTCGGAACGAGGGTTGAGTCTTTTCTCGAGCGCGGCAAGAGCAGGGGATTGAGATGAAGATAGCGGGGCGGGGGCGGTGTCTTCTTCAAGGGGGGCGTAGATGGCGCGGAAGATGGCGGCAACCATGGAGGTGTCCGCCTTGTCGAATTTGACTTGCATGTCTACCCTGCCGGGGCGGATGAGGGCCTTGTCGAGTTTCTCGAGGTGGTTGGTCGTCATTATCAACACGCGGCCTTCCTGGCTGGCGACGCCGTCGAGGATGTTGAGGAGGCCTGAGAGGGAGAGGCGGCCGGGGAGGGAGGTGGGTTTACCTTTCGGGTCCGGGACTGGGGGGGCGGCGAGGAGGAGGGGGGGTTCGCCGCCGGGGGAGGAGGAATCAGGTTGGGAAGCAGGGTCGCGGGTGTGGGTCAGGCCGGCCGTGTCAATGTCCTCCAGCAGCACGACGCACCGCCGGGGGAGTTCAGCGAAGAGGGAGGCGAGGTTTTCTTCTGTGGCGGTCATGGAGGACAAAGAGACGATGTAGATTCTCATTTTGAAGAAGCCTGCCAACGCGAGGGAGAGGGATGACTTCCCTGTGCCTGGGGGGCCCCAGAGGAGATACCCGCGGCGGTAGGGGATGCCTCGGTTGGCGTACCACCTCCTCGTGGCAGGGTTGAGGTAATCAGTCACATCGTCGATGAGCTTCTTCTTTACGTCCTCATTGAGGATGACAGTGGAGAAGGGGCGGGAGGTGCGCGCCATGCAACGTTGCCAGGTGGGCTCCAACCCGGTCCCCTTAAGTGCGCCGCGGTAAATGAGAGTTTTGGCCTCGTCGCGCTTGAGGTACATGCTTCTCGCTTCGTTGAGCAACTCCTTCAACACCCAGGGGTTTCTCCCAAAGCAAGAGATGGAGATCTCTTCCCTCTCGCTGGTGGTGTAAAAAGGGCTTTGTGTCGCGGGCTGCTGGCGCTTGAAGATGAGCAGGCGGCGCTTGTAGATAAACCAGTGACTCCCAAACGTGGGCGTGTAAGCCAGAGCCTTTTTCTTCTTCTTGGTGACCACACAGCCGGATTCGTCAATCTCGGCTCCGTCATCTTCGTCGTCGTCGTCGCTGGACCCCCACATCCACCAGTACATCCTCGAGTTGAGGTTGGTGTTTGCCACAAACCGCCGGGCGCCTTGGGAGAACGTCTGCTGGGCGACCCACCCCATGAGCATGTTGTAGATTTCGTCGTCGGTGCGGACGTCGACGACGGACATGAGGTAGGATTCCATCAGGTCGTTGAGGTATGACGACAGATAGCGCCATGCGGCGGCGACGAAGGAAAAGGACATAATAACGGGGATGTAGAGGTTGAGGTTGATGCCGAGGTGGGATTGCAGAAAGTTGGCGAGGAGGGTGAAGCCGGGGAAGAGGTAGTCCAACATGGCGATGGGGCTTAGGGCGGCGGACTCGCCGCCGATCCCCGGCGGGATGAGAGTTTCGTTCATGGTGGTTACAGTGTTGAGTGGGAAGATGGGTGTGGTGACAACACAGATGAAGTGAGGAGAAAAAAGGAGTGAAACAATGGTAAGATATAGACAATCAATTCCACACCAAAAGGGGGAACGTTTGATAAGGTGTGTGTGCGTGTGGTGTCGAGGCT